ATGGATATTAGAACTGGGGTACAGACCACAGGTGCAGTGGATGAAAGGATTCACCAGAGACAGAGTTGTGGGCAGAAAAGGTAGACCTACTGAAATACACTGCTGAGGGGAGCAGTGGGTAAGACTAGAGAGGTCTGCTGTGCCATGCAGGTAAGCTCCCTAGCCAGGATCGAACTCATGCTGCAGTGGCTGCAGATAGCTAGTGCTTCAACTCAACCTTCTGCACCACCAGGGAGGCCCTTTCTAGTCTGTTTAAAATGCACTTTACTTTGCTCTTGTTGTACAGGTTTTGTTCTTTAGTACAGACTGCACAGCAGTTATTCAATAACCATTTATTGATATGGCGATTAAGGGGAGAAGATTAACACTTTAATTTTAAAGAGTAGTAGAGGTGTGTGAGGTGTGTGATATATGTGATATGGTCCCTATAACCACTTTCATATTGATAAATGAGCTATATTCAGAATCATATGGATAACATTCTTTACCAGTGAAACATCCCATCTTAAGAGTTTGAGAACACTTGCTACAGTTTTCCTAAACAACCTAAATAGTATAGAATGATTTCTAGTATGTACCTCACATGAAATGTCTAAGTACTAAGTAAAATCTCCATAAAATATTTTTGAAGACATATTTATTTATGCATACAAGAGCTGGGGTATAGGTCAGAGGTGTGGGTAGGGGTGAGAGGATTCACCAGAGACAGAGTGGGGAACTGAATAGGCAGATCTATTGAAATACACTGCTGAGGAGAGCAGAGAGCCAGACAGAAGAGGTCTTGCACACCATGTGGGTCTCCTCCCTGGCCAAGGATTAAACTCCTGCTGAGTGGCTGCAGATAGCCTCAAGGTGTTGTGCTTTAACACCCTGCTCCACCAGGTAGGGCGCTCCATAAGGTATTAAAAGGAATAATCATACAATAACAGGTTGTGCCATAATAAAAAAAATCTCACTCGGGTAAGATTCAGTGTTTAGTAAGGGAAAAGTATTCGCAGGTTTGAGTATATCATCCTGTGATAAATTACTCTAATTAAGGGAAGTGAAAGGTTATTTCATTAAGATACAAACTTACCTGGTTTTAATTACAGAAAAATTTAAAGACAAAAATAACTGAAATTTTGTCCTGGTGAATGTTATTACCCACCAAAGTCTAAGCCTCCCTAGTGGCCTACGGGTTAAGTGCAGTGCTATAACTGCTATAGCCTAAGTTTAATCCCTAGTCAGGGAGCTAATCCACATATGGCACAGCACATCTGTCCTGTCTCACCTACTGCTCCCTTATTTCAGTAAATACTACCCCTGTTCTGCTTCCCACTCAGACTCTGGTGAACCCTTTCACTCCCCGTACTATTAGTCTATACCCCAGTTCTTCTATAATCCCCCCTCAAATATAATAATATGTTTTAAGTCTAGTTCTTCCCTCCTTACTACTAAGCTTAGGCCGTTTGTGATTTTATTACTCAGCTGAATTAATGACTCTACAGTCAGTTCTCTAGTTCTTCTTCCCTTCCATGCTACAGGGTAATTATCTCTACCCAATACCAGCAGAAAACAGTATATGAAATTCTCCATAGAGGGTGAAACAAGGGATGTTAGGTGGGACAGGGATTGTGAGTTTCACTGTGAAAACAGGAGACAAATGATATGCCTGTACAAATATACTGTAAGATGGAACCCCCAGTTATCTTTCCCTTTGTCTTCTAAAATATCCTAACTGGGGCCTCCCTGGTGGTACAAGGGATTAAAGTGCAGTACTATGAAGCTGTCGGCAGTCACTGCAGTGTTCAATTCCTGGCCAGGGAGGTGACCCATATGGCACAGCATACCTCTCCTGTCTCACCTGCCACTCCCCTCAGCAGTGAATTTCGGTAGATCTGCCTGTTCTACTCCCCACTTTGGTGAATCCTCTCAACACCCGACACTTCTGGCCTGTACCCCAGTTCTTGTATGCATGAATAAATGAATCTTTAAAAAAATATATGCTAGCATCCAGGGATTTCCCAGCAAATTTACCACCCAACTCCCCCTGTAGTAAAACTCAAAGTTGTGAACCTTGTCCACAAGCATAGGGATTTCTCTTTTTTTTTTTTAAGATTTATTTATTTATGCATACAGAACTGGGGTACAGGCCAGAGGTGCAGGGGGTGAGAGGACCTACTAGAGACAGAGTGGGGAGCAGAATAGGTGGATGGCTGAAGTACACTGCTGAGGGGAACAGTGGGCGAGTCAGAAGAGGTCTGCTCGCCATGTGGGTCATCTCGGGGCGGGGATCAAACTCACACTGAAATGGCTGTGACAACCTTGCAGTGCTGCGTCCTAACCCACTGTACCACCAGGGAGGGCCCAGCATAGGAATTTCAATCAATTGTCTCCATTTTAAATTATGAGCATACATCCAAGACTTACCACACATCTGAGAAAAATAAGAGACCAAATTTCAGAAAGAAAGCCCTTTGGAGGAAAAAAGACCATGTAAAGAAAACAAAGAAGATATCCAATATTATATTCAAAGATGTAAGATGAAATAAGCAAGATACTGAGGACTGGAAAATGAAGACAAGATAAACTCCCCAAAATGAAACAAAAATAATGTGTGATGGAAAAACACTACAGGAAAAATTTAAAAATTGAAGAGCCCAGAAATCCAGTATTCATAGAGTATCAGAATAGAAAGAGCAGAGAATAGAGGAGGGATGCATCAACAAATAATTCACAACTGAAGAACACACAATTCCACAAGGAAGGGTTCACCAGGTGCCCAGTATCATGAACTAAACAGACATACTCTTTTGATACATCATAAAATTTCAAAACACTGCAACAAAGAGCCCACAAAAGCTTCCACAATCAAAGTAACAAGAATCATACTGGCTGTGAACTTATCAAAAGCAACATTAGAAGAAGATAATAGAATCTGGTAAATTAGAAGATATACATTTGCATGAAGCAGCAATTTAAGCACTAGATGTATATCCCAGAGCTTGTCTACATTAATAGCTTGGATAAATGTACAACAATGTTTATAGCAGTTTTATTTCTAATAGCCTCAAAACTGTAAACAACCCAAATGTTCATGAAGACAACAGATAAATAGCTATAGTCACATAGCAGGATATTTATTTATACAGTGGAAATTAAACCACTGTTACCTATAACAATATGGATGAATGTTATATAATGTTGAGTAAACAGAGCTAGATGATCCCACTGACAAAGTTAGTAACAGACAAAAATAAATTATATTAATTTAGTGATAAACATATATAGGTAGCAAAATTACTGATATAAAGAGAAAGTCACCAAAAATCAAGGGAAAGAATAAGCTGTAATTGAAAAACATGAAGAGCCACTTAGAGTACCTTTAATGTTCTACTTTTTTTAACCTATGGACAGTTTGCAAATATTTGTTTCATAATTAATCATTAAACTATGTATGTGCTTTATGCACTGCTCTATATGGTACAGTTTAAAGCGGAAAAGATGACAATGAAGCCACATTTTCAAAATTCTGTAAGAAAGTTATTTTCAACCTAGAATTCTATACTCATCAAAATTACAATTTAGTTGTGAGAGTAAAATAAAGACATTTCAAATATGTGAAGCTTCAAAGAATCTATCATGTACATTTTCTTAAGAAAATATAAAGACCTATCATTTTCAGGAAAATGACTAAAATTTTTAAAAGTATTTTTCCAGGCCCTCCCTGGTGGCGCAGCGGGTTAAAGCACTGCACTGAGAATCTAAAGCCGCTTCCGCATGAGTTCGATTCCCGACTGCCCCGGAGGTGACCACATGGCGTGGCAGACCTCTCCTGACACGCCCGCTGCTCCCCTCAGCAGTGTACTTCGTGGATCTGCCTGTTCTGCTCCCCACTCTGTCTCTGGTGAATCCTCTCACCCTCCGCATCTCTGGCCTGTACCCCAGTTCTGTATGAATAAATAAATAAATCTTTAAAAAAAAAAGTATTTTTCCATAAAAAATGTTATCTTACCATTTAGTAAGTTTACTATGACATTTTATTATATTAAGTAATAATTTTCTTTTTTAAAATTCTTAATCCATTGAACATCTCAAAAATATAATAGCTTACAATGAACAAAAACTGTTGGGGTGCTGAGAGTGTAAAGGGCACAAGTTATTACTTTACATTGGTACAATTTAGATTCTGCAAAGAAAAAAATTAAGAACTCTTAGTGTAGCACTCTAACATGAGGCATACTAAAATCAAAAATTTTGAGATCCGCTAGCATAGACATTGTAATAAACACCAAATACGAATTTAGTCAAAATTGTTAAGCATTGCTTGACAGAAGCAGAGTTCATCAAATAGATAATACAAGACAGAAATATGCTTTAAGGTACTTGCCAGAGATAAGTACTTCAAAGCTCTTTGACTCCTCACTTCTCTAACATAATTCTCATTTCATTCTGACCTATAATTTGTCTTGCTTACCATACCATGATTACTTTAGATAGTGCCATCTTCTATATTCTCAAAAGGGCTCACTACTTCTTATATAACAAGTAATTAAAAACTGTTTATGTCAATGACTATATGAGATAATCCAATTCATAAATGCGGATCATTGAAGCAAATATATGCCTCTTCCATTTTTTAAACCTATGCAGCAGTACTGGAAAGTCCAGTTTGAAATTAGAAAAAATTTAAGTATATTTTCAAGTCAGTGAGACTGACTCTTAGACCCCTACTCATAAAGCAAATATTCAGGAAACCAAACACATACAAATGATGGAGACGGACATATGACACACATTCTGATTTTTTACCTGTTACAGCAAGATCTCAAGTAATCTTGAATTTCAGTAATGAATATTTTTTTTCTCTATTTCTCCCCTCTCTATTTAACGTTTATAACCCTCTGGTCCCTTTGGATTATACCTCACTTTTGTGTACCATCTTTAGGTTAGCATAACCAACAAAAAGCCCCTAGCAATTCCCAGAATCAACAAAGAAATCAAAGTAAAAATCATCTTACCAACAGTATGATTCCCATAAAGGAGCTGCTCCAAAATTGCTGTTTTCCCTACAGATAACAATCCACAAACCACAACTTTGCAGCCTTTTCCCATCTTCTCTCAGGATATCACTGTAAAAAGAATCACAAGTCTTGATGAGCATAGCAGGTCTTTAAAATTATATACTGTTAAAAGCAATCTTTTCTATGTTTAAATGTAATAAGCAAACATAAATGGGGGAGAAGGGCTGCTGGTTAATTCCAAAAAAAGGACACACAGAAGTATATCCTTCCAAACCCTTTGAGTTGTGCTCCCTTAGAGCAATCAGTGTTACAGTTTCTTATATATCTTTACAGAGACCAAATAAGTGTAATACATGTAACCAATACATACTTGTAAGAATAAACACATTTTATACAAATATTTTAATACTAATCTACAAGAACCCCAATCAAATCCTGCATGAAACTAATCTTGAAAGACTTCTTATTAATATAGGGAAATCAACATTTAAGCAAGAAGTTATGAAGACATAAAAATTAAAATCTGAATAAAGAATGGACATAATTTTTGTAAACATTAATGCTATTAAAGATGCTCTTAAGTGTTTACTCAGGATAGCAAGAAACTGGATTTTGTTAGCTACCTGGGCTCTCCTAGTTACACCTCTTTTTGAGACATACATTTTAATGCTAGAAAAAGTGCTCAGGGCTTTAACCAAGTTAGTTCTCCTAGCTCTTAACATAGCCAAAGAGCAAGATCAAGTAATATTTTCTTCAATTTTCCGGAAGTCAAAGTACCAGAAGCCAAGGCAGACAAGATAAACAAGGCTCACTAAAAACAAAATATCCTGGGCCCTCCCTGGTGGTGTAGCAGGTTAAGGCACAGCAGTAAGAAGCTAAAGCCACTGCAGCATGAATTTGATCCCCCGCTCTGGAGGTGACCCACATGGTGTGGCAGACCTCTCCTGACCCGCCCGCTGCTCCCCTCAGCAGTATACTTTTGTAGACCTGTTCTGCTCAGCACTCTGTCTCTGGTGAAGCCTCTCACCACCCCGCACCTCTGGCCTGCACCCCAGTTCTGTATGCACAAATAAAGAAATCTTAAAAAACAAACAAACAAAAACCCTGAACATAAAATTTAAACTTCAGAGTGAATTTTGTCATCTCCCACCACCTTATTTCCCCCAGTTTTCTTCTTGCCTCTAAGTATAGAATAGTCAGTAAGAGAGTAAAAGCAATGCCCCAACTCCCTGAAGTCAGGAAACAACTATAACAAGTTAAACATTCTGATAAAAGGGAACCTGGATATCTTTTTGTGGTCATATACTTATTGGATTGTGACAACTAAAAACTCAGTATGGCCATAACTTTCATGGCAGCAGAATAATAGCATTTTATTCTCGGGAGAAGGGTGGCAGTGTTTGTACGCACATGAATTATATGATTGTTCTTTTTTTTTTTTTTAAAGATTTATTTATTTGTGCATATAGAACTGGGGTACAGGCCAGAGACTCAAGGGTGGCGAAAGACTTCACCAGAGACAGAGTGGGGAGTAGAACAGGCAGATCGACAAAGTACACTGCTGAGGGGAGCAGCGGGCGGGTCAGGAGAGGTCTGCCGCGCCATGTGGTCACCTCTGGGGCAGGCAGAAATCGAACTCATGCGGAAGTGGTTTCAGCTTCTTAATGCTGTGCTTTAACCTGCTGTGCCACCAGGGAGGACCTGATTGCTGTTCTTTACCAACAATTATAAAAGCACTAAATAACAAGTGAATATCTCCTAAGTCTCTATTTTCTCAAAGCCTATAATTTTTTTATGACCCAAATAAACCACAATAACTTGATGAGAAGACAAACTTCAATGCTATCATTACGGTAATATAACAGCAACACCCCATTTCCTACTTGAGCACTTCAATGCAGCAGAATAATCACTACTTAGGTAATCCAACCATAATATACGGGGTAACATACTCAGGATGCTTCTACATCATCCCAAGAATATTTATCACTGTTTTAAGTAGAACCACTTCTCTTAGGGAACATACAGTTTCAAAATAAGTGCAATAGAAAATTTCTTAACCCTTCATGAATGTAGTTTTATGCAACACTTACCATGTGTGGTATGGCATTCTCCTATGCCAGTGATAATGGCCCATTTTTAAAGTTTTCTACACTTAACTCTGAATTAATGATTTAATGTCATTTCATTTTTCATCAAATTATATTCTGTCTGCATATTGTGGTCTCCCATAAATTATACCAGCGAATCCTTCTTTCAAAAGTTTTAAATGATATCAGTTAAAAGTTGAAGTTACCACCTAACCATGTTAGAAGAGGATGAAAAAGGGGCCCTCTCTGGTGGTACAACACGATGAAGCTATATGCAGTGACTGCTTCATAAGTCTGATCCACGGCCAGGTTGCTGAACCACATGATGCAGCATACCTCTCCTATCTCTCCCACTACGCCCCTAAGCAGTGTTATTTCTTGTTCTATTCCCCACTGTCTCTGGTGAATCTTCTCACCTACCATATCTCTGGCGGCCTATACTCCATTCTTGTGTGCATAAATAACTCTTAAAAAAAAAGAAAAGATGGGAAACCCGCAGGGATTACAATCGAGATGGAAAAAAAAATGTACAAAATGATGTAAAAATAAACTTAAAAAAAAAAAAAAGAAAAGAATGAAGAAGAAATAGAAGAAATGTATCTACCAGAGGTTGAGAAAAACGACAGCAGCCCAGGATAATTCAGCTTAAGACTTATTATTAGAATCTAAGTTTCAACATGTCTATTGTTATTTTCCCTTTTTTTTTTTAAGATTTATTTATTTATGCATTCAGAACTGGGGTACAGGCCAGAGGTATGGGGTATGAGCGGATTCAACAGAGAGAGAGAGTAGGGTGCAGGAAGGACAGGCAGATGTACTGAACTACAGTGCTGAGGGGAACAGCGGGTGAGCCAAGAGAGGTCTGCTAGGCCATGCAGATCACCTCCTTGGATGGGGATTGAACTCATGCTGGAGTGGCTGTAGATAGCTTCACAGTGCCATGCTTTCACCAGTTGCGCCACCAGGGAGGGCCCTCTATTGTTCTTTTCTAGTGTTACTTCTCTTCCTCTTAAAATGTCTTAGTTCC